CTTTTTGTTGCCCGTGGTTGTCTAGGTCCCTGAATGGTTCAGGGTGTTGGGTTTAGGGAGTTTAGGGTTTAGGTTTTAGGGTTTAGGATTTAGGGTTTAGGATTTAGGGTTTAGGATTTAGGGATTAGGTTTTAGGGTTTCGGGTTTCGAGTTTAGGGATTAGGGTTTAGGGATTAGGGTTTAATTAGCGTTCAGGGTTAGTACGGCTCAGGGTTTAGGGAACAGGACTACCAATCCGAAAACTCACAGATCTCGCACCCGCTCGCTTGAGCCCTACAAGCCAAAGGTCAGCAAGCAGCTCCCACCTGAAACTACGCAGAAGCCTCTGTAATACCAACCTCCATGACAAGAGCTCTGAAGCCTCGCGTCAGCACACCCTGAAATCCCCAGGGGGCCCTCCCCACAGACCCAACAGCATCCAGCCCTGACTGTCCTGGTGGTAGGCTGATAGGGAGGCGTCAATGTTGCTTCTGAAGGCGTGCACAAGTGCTTTGGCTTGCTCGCCGTTCTTGTCGATGTCCTTCGTCTCAGACTGATTGACTTGGAAGTTATGGCCGTTCTAGATTTACCTGAACCTAACAACCGATGATCGCAGGTGTTCTGATAAGGATTCCTTACACCAGTCCTTACAATGGTGGCTTGTTGACGACACAGGTAGGCCTCAGTAGGCTCTCTGATAGCCAGCAGCTACTATTGCAACACGAGCCTTTAAAGAAGCCCGTCCTTTCCGATTTGCCCCCGTTGAAAAGACTGTTTTGCGAAAACCCTGAAGACCTGCCGAAGCCTGGATTTTGTCATAAGATTGACAATATTGACGTGGCTAAGAGCTGCACTAGCAAACCGTAACACCGTAACACCCGCCTACTAGTATACAAGAGTATGCTATACGATGCTATGCTACACTACTATACTATACAACACTATACTAGACTATACTATACTAGACGAGACGAGACTGTACTATACTGGACCATACCATACCATACTATATATCGAGACGAGGATTTGGATTTCGGGAACAAACGACCGCGACATCTTCAACAAGTCTAAAAAAATCCAATCCCTAGGGGCCTCAATAGAACGAGAATAGGGTCTTGGGGCAAACTCTAGATATTCAGATATTTTGTTAGAACTCTCCTAAACCCTCAACCCTGAACCCTCGGAGACCCTGTATAGCCCCTCTCCTCCAACTTCAGGTGCAGCTGATTTATAGCCGCCTGTCAGGTGGCTACCGCCCAGGCTGTTGGGGTTTGCAGGCTGAGGGCGCAGAGTTCAGGGTCTAGGGTGTGGAGTTTGGAGTTTAGGGCTCACCGTTTAGAGTTGAGGGCTCAGGTTGTAGAGTTTAGGGTTTAGGGCTCAGGGCATATTTACGGCTTATGTGACACCAGTGCTCAGGGCTCGGGATATGCAGAGTTCAACAAGTTAAATTTTAGTATACAGTCAACGGTCTTCCTTTATTTTGAATCACATTATAATATACATTGCGTAAGTGTATACTGCATATATAGTCAGATTTCGCGACTTTCTTCCCAGGCCTCAAAGCCTTGTGTATGGATGCGAGCAGTGAACGAAGCACTCATGTTGGCGATGGCATCGAGAATTGGCTGGGGATCAGTGTGCCTTGAGGAATGTTGTCAGGGTTCATAACACGGGCGTCAAAGGTTTATAGGGCTGATGGAAACTTACAATGGTTTTCATTGGGGTTGGAAAAGGGTTCTGTACTAGGCTGTTCACAAAGATTACAGAAACACAAAACAAATTAAGCCTCAGGATACAAAACAAATTAAAATTAAGGATCATAAAAAATATATATTAAAATCCGATTAAAATCCTAGGCAAAACCTACTACCTCACGAAATAAGGATCAAAAAAATTGAAGCGGGGGGTTTGGGGGGGCACACCCCCCCCCACCAGTTGCAAACGCGATGCTCGCAACATGAGCTTTAAAAAAGGGGGGGGGGTTGGGGGCGCAGCCCCCCCCATTTGCAAAAGCAATGCTCGCTGCATGGGTTTGGAAGGGCCACCCCTTTTGCAAACGCAATGCTCGCAGCATGGGTTTGGAAGAGACTCGTATGCTTTGCAAAAAGGGCGGGGGCACCCCCATTTGCAAACGCAATGCTCGCATCATGGGCTTGGCTTGGAAGGGACTCGTATTGATTGAAGCACGCTTGGCCGGCTTTTAAAAAAAGGGCGGGGGGGTTGGGGGGGGTGCAGCCCTAGTCCTACTGCTACTGCTACTGCTGCAACTCCTCCTCCTCCTCCTCCTCCTCCTCCCCCTCCTCCATGCATTTGCAAACGCAATGCTCGCGTCATGGCATCATGGGTCTGGAAGGGACTCGCATGCTTTGAAGCAAGCTTGCCCGGCTTAAAAAAAGGCAGGGGGTTGGGGGGGAGCGCAGCCCCCCCCCCTTTTGCAAACGCAATGCTCGCATGGAAGGGACTCGTATGCTTTGCAAAAAAGCGGGGGGGGCCGCAGCCCCCCCTCCCCTTTTGCAAAACCCGATGCTCGCATCATGGGGCAGCCCGCCCAAATTTGCAAACGCAATGCTCGCATCATTGGTTTGGAATGCACTCGCATGCTTTGAAGAGCCCCCCCCATTGCAAACATAATGCGCGTACGACCGGTGTGTTCTTTAAAGCGAGCTTGAAAAGCGGAAAGACTTTTAAACAAAGCGGGGGGAGGGCATCTTTAAAACAGCGGGGAGAGGGGGTTGAACACTGGGAAAGATTTAAAACAGACTTAAAATAAGAGGGGGGTTGTTATCTCGTTTTCGTAGTTATTTCGTTCTTCCTTCTTCCTTTCTTCCTTTCTTCCTTTTTCCTGTCTTCTCTTCTTCTGTCTTTCGTTCTTTCGTTGTTTCGTTTCTTTCTTTATGTATTTCTTTCTTTCCTTCTTTCTTTATTTCTGTCTTTCTTTCTTTCGTTCGCTCAGTTCGTTCTTTGTTTCTTTCTTTCTTTCTTGCCCTCCTTCTCTAGACTTTCAATAGGACTGGAATACGTTTTTAAAAGGAGTCTCGCACAAATTGTGGGTTACTTCTTTTTGATCCTTATTTAATTTTTGTTGATCCTTACTTAATTTTGGTTTAACCCCTATCCCTGCACCTGCTGTGTTCCATCACCCCGTTTGATAAGGACACCTCCACAACCAAAAAGAGCAAGGGGATGCTACCGGGGTATCTGTTAATTGCCAACACTATCCCCTCCCTGTTCCCTTTTTAGTCAGAGTATTATATACTTCAAAAGGCCCCATCCTAAATAATAAAGCTCCAAAGATTAGCCTCGGCGCTGTCGGATGGTCTGCAACACTTCCGAAATGTCTACGTCCACCTTGATATTCTCGATGGCTGTCAGGACTGCCGAGAAGTCCACGTCGAGCTTCAGGTCCTTGGTTTCCCCAGTCTCCCCTCAATGGCATGTGGATACCTACCGGTTAGGGGGTTCCTTAAAGGGATCTATAGTAGGGTTTCTGCAGGGTTTTTATTGGGGTGCTATAAGGATGGATACCTACCTGTTTTCCTACTATCCAGATTGATAAGGAAACCCAAACCGTCCAAACCAAAAAAGGGTACTACTGGGAGGCCCAGGGTCTCGAATGGCTTGCAGATCAACCTTGTTTGCCTCAATGGCCCTCATCACTGCTGTAAAGTCGATGTCCACCTTCACCTGAGAAAGATCGACCCTGTTGGCATCGATGGCTGCCAGAACACGAGAGAAGTCTACCTCGGTCTTCTTGCCGTGAATGGCTGCCAAGACCGGCTGGAAGTCGATGTCGAACTTCTGCTCACGGATGGCTCGAATGACCTGAGAGAAATCGACATCGACCCTCTTGTTCTCAATGCGCGTCAGCGATGCGGAGAGATCGCGAAGGGAGCCAAGAACTTCCGTAAAGTCGACATCCAGCTTCTTTTGATCGATGCGCGTCAGGACGGATGTGATGTCAACATCGACGACGGACGGGCCAGGGGCGGGGATGTCTATCTCTTTGACAGCTCGGAGGACTTCATCAAAGCGTGCCGACAGTGACGAGAAGTCGACATCCAGCTTTTTTTCATCGATGCGCGTCAAGATGGATGTGATGTCAACATCGACGGACGGGCCAGGGGCGGGGGCGGGGATGGCTATCGAGTTGACAGCTCGGAGGACTTCATCAAAGCGTGCCGACAGTGACGAGAAGTCGACATCCAGCTTCTTCTCACGGATAGCGTTGAGCACATCAGTGAAATCGACATCTGTTTTTTTGGCATCGATGTGTGCAATCACCGGCTGAAAGTCAATCGATGAGTCAACGTCGAACTTCTGCGAGCGGATGGCTTCTAAAAGCGCAGAGAAATCTTTGTCAAAGTTCTTGTCGTGGATGGCTGTGAGCACATGTTCGATGCGTGTCAACACCTCCGACCAGTTTACATCGAACTTCTTCTCGTCGATGCGTGTCAACACCTGTGACAAGTCTACATCGAACTTCTTGTCGTCGATGCGTGTCAACACCGTTGACAAGTCGACATCGAACTTCTTCTCATCGATGCGTGTTAAGACCTGTGTCAGGTCGACATCAAAGTTCTTCTCACGAATAGCTGTCAACACTGGGTCGAAATCAACCTTGACTTTGGACTCGTCAAAGTGAGTCACCACCGCTGAGAAATCGAAGGACGAAAAGTCCGCTTCAACTTTTCTGTTCCTCAAGTCTTTCAGGTCCCCACTCAGCAAAGCGAAATTCGCAGACATCTCGGCACGAATACTCTTCATTTCCTGAAGTAGGATATCCGTGTGGCACTCTATTTGGTGCTTGATCCTTACTTCCACAAGCAAGAAAACAGAGGTTTCACCCCTCAGAATATGAGCCCAATGCCATAAACAGTCTTGCCAAAACCACTAAACCCTGCCAAAAGCTTATAAAACACCTACAAACGCTCGAAACCCGAATTCCTAAAGCGCTCGCCACAGCCCTAAAAACCGACAGTCATGAACCCAAACCCCCAGACCCTCAAAACTCTGAAGTAGAACTCTTTAAAACCTTCTAGAATGCTTTTCGGACCCTGAAAAGGAACCGTAAGTGAGTTCTTGAAGGAAGCCCCCCAGCAGAGATAAGCATCTGCTTTGAAATCTGTGATCGAACTTGCTCTAACAGCTCCACCTTGAAGTGGCAAGTGGGCTTTCCATGCTTGCCCACATCCTGTTCTGAATCTGGGTTGCTGTTAAGGAGCTTCATTTTAAGTTACTCTAATGGGGATTTATCGTACATAGTAGGGTTTCCTTGCTATGGCAACTCAACTTAAGTTCCTTTACTGCAACCCAGGAATTTCCGGTTGCTGTTTTCGATGCTTCAGGATGCATGGCTTACGGATTGGGAATTGGAGATTGTGTGCTTCATGCGTTAGGATTGGGGGCCGAGGGCTGTTTAGGGGTTCACGGTTTAGGGTTCTGCGCTTCCCTAAAACCTAAACCCCAACGGTTTAGGTGTGAGACTCGGGGCGGCCGTACCCGCCCACATCCTTCATAAATGGCTTCAAAGTAGGGGTCGGAATATTCAATATTTGGAATATGGTTCTGGACTATATTATGCTATAGTTTTGAAAAGGAAGCCCCAAAATTAGTACTGGTATATGGTAGTAATAACATCCCCCTAGGTCCCAACTACGGTGTAAAATACCCCCAAACGTATCTCAATGACCCCTGTACTATGGCTTCTGGTTCAAGTTAAAGGCATCCCCGGCCCACCTCGATGTCTTCCATATCTCCCAAGTGTCCATAGGGCGTCTGGAAAGTGTCGAGTTTCGACCACTGGTAGCGCTCCGCATTCCTCAGCACCAGATTCGGGAGTTTACTTGGGGGATACTGGCTCTGCTCACGGCTTTAATGGCTTAGGATTTAGAGTTTTCGGCTTTAGGGGTTTAGGGCTTGGGGAGATTGGGTTTAGCGGGTTTAGAGGTTTAAATGCTTAGAGGGGACTTCCAGTCGGTGCTTCCGTTGGTTCGCAAGGGTTGTACAATGCTGCCTGCACGTGCTTCTGTCGTCAGACGAGTGCTGATGCTACTACTGATACTACTACTTATGCAACTACTAGCACCAACACCACCACAACGACTGCTACTCCTACACCTGCTATTCCTACTACTCCTGCTACTGCTACTACTACTACTACTACTACTACTACTACACCTACGACTGCGCCGACCACAACAACGATGACGGCTACCACTAGCATCACCACTGCCCATACCACGCCAACTACGCCACACTCTTCTTTCATTACTTGCCTAAAACCGCACATCCTTCCCTAAACCCTAAACCCTAAACCCCAAATCCAGTAAACATCTCAGCGTCACTTTCGAGATGTCGATGGCCCGAAACTGCGCCCGGCTGCTGCTCATGGTGTATGCGGACTCCGCCGCGACCGTGCGAAGGCCGTGGTCCAGCGGATCGTGCTCGCTGTATTTAGAGCGCTGGTAGTCGTAGGTCCTCAGGGCTTAGGGTTTAGAGTTTAGGGTTTAGGGTTAGGGATTTAGGGTTTTGGGTTTAGGTCGTTTCTTCGGATGCGACATCGAAAACGAGGGACTAGGACCACCGGGTTCTACACGACTGTAGGCAACCTGCGATGTTCCAAACTCTCCTCCCTAAACCCTAAACTCTGTCAGTTTCCTTAAACCCTAAACCCCTAAACCCTAATCCCTAAACCCTAAAACCTAATCCCTAAACCCTAAACTCTGTCACTTTCGGATCTCGGTACCTCGGCTTTTTGGGGCAACCCTGAGTCACATCTCCATGCTGTGCTGCCTGGAAACTTTGGCCCTTCGGGTTTATGGGGTTTAGGGTTTAGGGCCAAAACCCTCAACCCCTAAACCCTTAACTGGGTTGTAGCTTTAAAGCTTTGGGGGCTCTTAAAGGTATCTATGAATAGGGACCTCTAATAAGAACCATAAGGGTAATCTTGAAGGCTAAACCTTGAACCTCGATCCCCTCCAAAAGAAAGCTGAAGCCCCAAAAAATTGGCTCCAGCCTCAGTTGTCAGCCCCACAATAATGCACAACGGAGGCGGGGTTTAAGGCTTCGGGCTTCGGGCTTTAGGGCTTAGGACTTGAGTTCAGGGTCGTCGGTTTAGGGTAGGGCGAAGTTTTGTGCAACGGGCATCTGGCTTGAGTTTACGGATTTGTTGGCTTGTCCTGGACTGAACCTGATAGAATTTTGGAGTTTAGGGTTTGGATTTAGGGTTTAGGGTTCTAGCTCGGAAGTGTCGCAGTCGCCGTGGCAGCAAAGGGAAAAACTGGAGTAGGGGAAATGGCAGGGGCTTTGGCGGTGGGAATATCTGGATAGCCCAGCAGCAGAAGAAGACACACGAAGAAGAAGTAGAAGAAGAGCGCAAAACTCCGAACCCTAAACCTTAGCTCCTCAGCCCAAGTCACCTAAACCTTACGGCGTTAGTTGGAGTTTAGGGCGGGGGGTTGAAACCCCGCACCCTGCAACCGCAACCCCTAAAGCCCCACCCCAGCCAAGAAGATGCAAAGCGGAAAGACTCCAAGCCCTGAAAGAGCAAGGCAAACTCCAATTCTCCAAAACCCTACACCCTAAGCCTTAAACCCTGAACCCTACAAAACCCTAAACCCCAAAAGCTTGAAATCCAAAAACCCTAAACAAACCCCAAATCCCTAAAACCCTAAGCCCTTAGAGGAGCCCCCCCTATTAGGAACCCTGAAATGAAAGCCATAAATCCCTAAACTCCTAAACCCCAAACCCCTAAACCCCCAAAAACCCGTAAACATAAAACCCAAAAGCCCCAAACCCTGAACTCTCTCACCCCTTCAAGGATCCTTAAAAACCCCCAAATCCCTAAAGCATTCAACCCTTAACCCCTTCAAGCCCTAAACCCCCAAATCCCGAGAACCCAAGCCCCCCTAAACCCTCAACCATAAACTCTAAACCCTCTAATCCCCTAAACCCTAAACCCTCTAAACCCTCCAATCCCCTAAACCCTAAACCCCTACACCCCAAAACCCTAAACCCCCCAAACCCCTAAACCCTAAACCCCAAAACCCCAAACCCTAAACCCTTATAGAACCCTTATGGATCCCTTTAAAGGAGCCCCCCCC